TCGCTTCAGTGCCTGGCTTCCGGTCGCCATCTTGGCTGACAGTTAATTTGCATATACTCACTGATTAGCCAATGAAAAGGGTAGCGGTTGTACGCTAATTACCATGTTTCTCTTTTATTAGTGTAGATGGGCTGCATTTGCATATAACCTAGATAGTATATAGGTTGCAGTAGGGTATGCGTACTCATAATTTCATTTGTATGAATTCAGTATAATGCTTGGTATGTGGCAAGTTTTGCTTTTTGGAACTTTTGGGGATTCTTTTTCTCAAATACTTTCAAGTTTTGCTTTTTGAAACTTTCTGGGATTTTTTTTCTCAAATATTAACCAACTGTGGTTTGTTGAGTCCATGGATGCAAAACCCTTGGATAAAGAGGACCAAATATAAACAATATAAATAATTGACAACTGTTACCTAAATACTAATTTTAGGCGTGTTTGCTATCTGGTCCCACGATTCAATAATTCTATTATTGTAGTTAATGTAAAAATATGTTAGGTGCTGTAAAATATCACTCCTTGATAGTACAGTGTGACATGAATACAAAGAAACGAGTTTATATAAGACATGGATCTCATTTAAATTTGATTAACATAAGTAATGAGAACTAAATTAGCATCATCACTAGGACAGGTTTTGTGATTCTTTGAAGGACACAGCAAATGTCTTCAGGGACCTTCGAAGTACTGTGACAAATAGTCAACTGGTGGAAAGCAAATTAATTACTGCCCAGAGGACATCAACCTTTGGCCAACTGTTTACAGTGCCATGGTATAGGTCAAGGGAGGAACTCCTTCCTGCCCTCAAACTGACTTCAAGGGCCATCGGTTCAGCTACTCTGTGGCAAAGAAATACTTTAGCTTTTTTTTTTCTTTTTAATATGAAACAATAAAAACCCATGATTATGGCTTCATTCCTCTTTACACAAAATTATAAAGAAAATTCTTGGGAAATAAGCTATAGTTAAATGGAAGAGGATAAAGATTACCTTGGAAATCACAGCAGTCATTACTGAAAGTGGGAAAGTATACACGGATCCCTTATCAGAGTTACATAAGCTAGGAGAAGTGAGTTGAGTTAATTTCAGATTGAGGGAACAGAAACAAGTTTAGATCTATAAACCTTTTATGAAGCAATTTTGTTACACCTGATTTATATTTAAGTCATGAAAATTGAACTGAGTTTTCTCTCCTATGAGAGCTAGAGGCAAATTTGGCTTAAAGCCTAGAAGAATAGAATGCTACAGTGTTCTCTTAGATCTCTCTCTAGAAAGTTGTTTCTGTGTATGTGTTACAGAAACCTCATCTTGCTTCTATTCTTCTCAGTGGCTAACCAAGGGTTATTATTATTATTTTTTATCAGTGATATTGAATAATTCAAGTCACTACCAAACTTTGTTATGTCATTTCAACCACATCTACCTAAATCTACCAAGATTTGTTATTAAGAGTTAAGAATTAAGCCATTAAAATACACATGATCCATTCATCTAATTCCAATCACCAAGATATTAATATTATTTATGAAAGTTACATTTTTATATTTGCAACGACGACAAAAAATGTACAATTGATATCCTTTTTGTTTCTGGGGAGAGAAAAGGTGGCAAACACTCATGAGAATTAAAATTGCTAATTTTGAATTCACATAATTTTTTTGGTTCTTACTCTATCAGTGTAGCATTGATGGTCACCAAGTCTCCAACCATGTCAGTAATTATCCAATGATAAAACCAAACGACATCAAAGCTTATTTATAGTTTGTAACTCTTTGTATGTTTTAATTAAGTAGGCAAGTGTAAATAAAAGGCAAAAGAAAAATGTCAATGCAATAATCTTGGGCTTCGTTGGTACAATTTTGCTAAGAAATGTGCATGTTGGAATTTTGTTTCTATTGGATTTCCCAGTATATCGCTGGCCGGGCCAGCTCTCCCGAATGCATTGGTGTCATCACCATAATTTGTAGCATAATTATTAATTATGATAAAAAGACAAGAATTATGATTTAAAAACTCCAAGAATCAATATCCTAATGCTATTTTGTTAAGACACATATAAAATATAAAGTAGGTTTGCATTCTTCAGGTACAAGGGAAGAAGGCAGCTGGGTATTTCACAAAATGATAGAGAACACACAATTTGTGATTATAAAAGTACCATGGATAACCCACAAACTGATTTGCTAAACTTTAATATTGCATTTTAAAATGTTAGCACTATGCTAATGAGATGCTCAGGTTACAGATCTTCCTTCCACTTCTTAACCATTTTCACAGCATTGGTTATCATAAATGTGATTCCTGCATTTAAACAAAGTCACTTGCATTCCTCTCAACAATGTACTTTAGAAATATTTATTTTTTTTATTGTGGATCTATCAACTGTGAGCACAGTCCTACTGCTGTATATGATGGCAGAAAATTTCACCTGGAATACATACCAGCAGGAATCCTGGGGGGCAGCGACCCTCCCCCTGCCACTGGATTCGGAGCCTGGATGCTGCTTAAAAACCCTGCCCTCAGGAAACTGGGGCAAAATGTCTCCACGCCAATGGCCGGGAAGGATCCTTTTAAGAGATAAAATATTGACATTAATCAAAACCTTCTTCTTAGAAAAGTTGTTGATCATTTAACTGGAATAAAACCTATAATCAACAAGTCCATCAAACCTTATGGGGAAGCTATGAAATTAAAAGAAAGGAAATGCATTTGTATTCATAAATTTTTAAAATCAACCTAGTATTTTAAAAAGAAAACTATTTTAACTAGTTACAATTAAAGAGCTTTAGAAGCATCCAAATGCTAAAATAAAATTTCTAAACCTACATTTGACCAAGGGGATATAAATGCACATTATTGATGTTGTCTGCCTGCAGAATTCAGATTACAGATATGTGGAAATAGCCACAACAGTGTCTGAGATCTGTGCCCACTAGAAGGAACAGTGCTTTAATTTCGATGTGTTAGTATCAGTGCTTCAAATAAGAAAAACTCTTGTAGTTGCAATAATTACACATGTTTTTGCAAGATTGGGAAGAAAACCAACATACACCATTCTTAATTTGTTACACTTTTCTATTTGGGACAAGACATGAGAGTTTGCAAAGGTAGAACCACATGCTTTTCCATTTTTAAGAAGGCAATTGTGAAGCAAAAAACAAAGTAAATTACTTGGAAATTTACCCATAAAATTATATAATGAATCATAGAATCAAGGAATGTCAGAGCAAAGAAGGACTTTAGAAATCATCCAGTCAAAAAATTCTCATTTTACAGACCAGCAAACTGAGGCCTGCTTTAAAGGGAAAGTGATATCAGGTAGCTGACAGACTCCCAGGACACAAATTTTCCACTATAGATAAAAAAAAAATAAGGAGCCACTTCCTATTTGGGAGATTTCTCACGTCTGAATATGAATTAGAAACCTTGCACTTTGGAATTGTAGTAGGATTATTATTATGGTGTTTCAATGACCTTAACACCACGAAAATCATTCAGAAGTAAATTTAATATATATGCATTACCAGTGCATGGACAGCACGGGGAAGATATGGTATATCTAAGTCTAAATCAAAATAATACCCTAAAAGCAAGCTATGCTGATTGTTGTAAGAAATGCATTTCATTTGGGCCCAGCAGTTTTCTTATGCAGAGACCTAAGATCTCTCCTCCTACGCTCAGATGTAGCAAGTTCTTTATTTTTATTTTTTTCTAAATATATTTTTATTGATTTCAGAGAGGAAGGGAGAGGGAGAGAGAAACATCAATGATAAGAGAATCATTGATCGGCTGCCGCCTGCACGCCCCCTACTGGGGTCAAGCCCGCAACCCAGCCATGTGCCCTTGACCCGAATCAAACCTGGGACCCTTCAGTCCACAGGCTGATGCTCTTTCCACTGAGCCAAACCAGCTAGGACAAGTTCTTTATTTTTGAAGAGACTTCGCTCTGTTTCTTGATACAAATTTTGCTCCTAAAATAAGTTAAAATTTGAAGCTTTGAATTTTGACCAGGATTATAGGGATCTGGTATACCATACACTATATTTCTTGCTTCTATGGAGACACTTGTTATGAAAGGCCAGCATTTCTTAGATCTTTAGAGATCTTTTTAGGAAAGATCAAAGTTACAAAGAATGTTTTAATGGGGGAGTCTTATGCATTGTACACTGGATTAAAGAAACAATTGAAAGAAAATCATGTACTCTGAGTAAACTGGCTTTGTTGTTGATTTCATGGGGCTTTAGTAAAATTGTCCAGCAGGGCTGAAGTCCCTTAAACGTTAGGAGGTGTGGCAAAAGAGGCAAGAGGTAGGCCAGAAATTGCTCTGGGGTAACTTTCCACCAACAGTGAAACTAATTTCTCAGTTGTTACTGATGGGATATTTAATCACTGAGCACAAAGTTAGTATGTGTCCATGTGCAATGCTTCATCACTTTCTGAGAAAATGTTCCTAATGAAGGCGCTTCACTGAGTACCAGGTGGAGATAATCATAGCATATATTTATACAGCATTCTTATTTAAAGTAACAAAAGAAATGGTGATTTTACAACAGGGAAAATAATTACAGGAAATTCAGATTTTATTATGTGCTGTGAAAAGCAAAAATAATCCAATTTTAGCTGATTATGGATTTATTGAAGCCAAGTAATAGGAAGCCTAGTTAAAAATACTAAATCACAAAGAAAAAGAATAACATAATCATGCACAGGAAACCAAAAGGGATATAAATGTAATTATCTTAAAGGAAATTTGAAGAAAAACAAAAGCATGTGGAGCAGTGACTCTAAATAATGTTAATATGCTTCACATTTAGAGATTTTTAATCTGAGTTTTTGCTATTTTGCCAACATTATTCCAAACTATTGACTTAGAAAATATTTCCATTATTTTAACTCCTTGAAAGAAACTAAATACAAATATAAATTTTTTGCTATGTTTACATCAATTACTTTTTTTTTTTGGTTGTGACAGCCTGTCATATTTAATAGCAACTTTCATTCTCCTAAACTTGCTGCATCAATCATAATGGTTTTTCTATGTTTCTTTACTATGGGTTAAAAGGTATTTCATTCATTGTGGCATATCTTCCTTAAGAAATTATCACTTTTTAAAAAAATCTGAAACAAACAAACAGAAAAACAGGTGTACATGAGTATATTTTCAGTTGAGATATCATATTATGTGATAATAATACCTTATCATTTTTCTCCTTAAGGTCAGTCATGTCAACAGAGATTGTATGAAAATTCTAAAGCTCTAAGTTTTCACAATTCAATCAGGAAAACTGAAATTATTCTTTGTTATAATTCCCTTATCTCTTATTCCACAAGAAATGAAGTTCATGAACCTTTCAGATTTGATATGAAATTATTTGAGTCTGGCTTGCCCTATTGCTTAAATTGCTGACTATCTTTGGCTTTTTTAAAAGTAAGTAAGCATATTATAGCTGAAGAATATACAATCCTATATAATAAAACTCTAATCAAATCGATCAAACCGTGGAATGACTAGTCGCTATGACATTTACTCCCACCAGGGGGCAGACGCTCAACGCAGGAGCTGCCCCCTGGTGGTCAGTGTGCTCCCACAGGGGGAGCACTGCTCAGCCAGAAGCTGGGCTCACGGCTGGCGAGTGCAGTGGCTGTGGCGGGAGCCTCTCCTGCCTCCGCTGCAGGTGGGCGGTAAGGAGCGAGGGGTCCTGGACTGCGAGAGGGGTGTCTGCCAAGGGGTCCTGGACTGTGAGAGGGCACAGGATGGGCTGAGGCCCCCACTCCAGAAATTTTGTGCACCAGGCCTCTAGTGTCTAATATCTATAGCAGGAGAAATATAAATGTTCACAAGTATTTTGTTTTCAGTTACATTCAATAGACTAATTATTTGTTATTACAAATTAGATTTTTATGTGATGAGAATATTCCTTTAGCCATGTGTCAATTAACACATTTTTCTAAATCCCAAATACTTGAGTTTCCAGTTTGCTGGTGATCCTGAGTCAGTGGGGTAAAGAGAGAATGGAATGTAACATTGCATTATTTCTAATATAGAGCTTCCAGATAACTGGGCATTCTGAGTTTTTATTTGCTAAATATGGCAATCCCACTCTCATAACATTTAAAACAGTTACAGATATCAGATATCAGATGAATAATAGACACTATTAACTAGTGGTGCAAGGTAATGTGATGTAAGTCACTGGCTGCATGGGTCAGTGATTTACCTGTCTTTCATTAGCTCAGTGGTTCTCAATGCCCTTAGGGAACACTGCAAATTGGGAGTGGGGAAAGACATTACTGCTGTTTGGTGGGTAAGGGTCAGGATGGATACTAAAAGTATTGCAAAAAGTGGTATGCTATCTGCACAAGGAAAATTCTCTCTCAAAATGTTAGTAGCATCTCCTGAGAAACACTGTACAACAGTAAAGGATCTTGGGGGAGAGGAAAATGGTGGTAGAATAGGCAGATGTGTGTCCTGCACCTTGTCCCAGAGCAGATAGAAGGAGCAACTAAATCAAATAACATCCACCTGGAATTGGCAAAGTAGACACAGCTGGTGAGACAATTCACAGCCGGGAAGGGCAGAGGATGCCTGGAGAACGGTAGGATTGGGGATCTGGGCAGGAGAGAGACATGCGACCACCAGGCTGAGAGGGTAAGAAGGAAGCTGCACGGCACCAAGTCTGCGTCCCTTGGGGATAGGTGTAACATCTGACAGTGGAAAGGAAGTCCACGGGGCTGCTGGTGTTTGGGGAATCTAGATCTATGTCCACAGTCACAAGAGGCTGCACCCAGAAAGGCAGCCTGAAGAGATACCTGAGCCATGCGGTGCCGGGGAGTTGGGGAGTTGGGGGGGAGCGTCGCTCACAATTTCATGGTGGTTTTGCCTCTGTTTTGTCATTGCTTTTATTCGATAAACCCAGTTCATAGGAACTTTCAAATACAAACACTCACGGAGGCTGCAGTACAGGTGGAGGTGTGGATTTGTGGAGTCTGGGGAGAGGCTGTGGAGGAGAGCGGGATGGGGAGAGGTGACTAGGAATCCAGCACTAAGACATTCCGGACCCTCCAAACCTAAACAGCTATTTTTCTCCTAAAGAGTCAGTCCCTCCCAGCAGCCTCAAGACAGCTAATATAGCCACACCCAGCCTACCACTTGAGCTGTATAAAGGACACAAAGACTCTGAATAGCCCCAAAGAGCCCTGAGAGACTGGGTTGAAGAGGGGCCATTCAGTCCTGGAAAGCAATACGGCACCACTCCCACCTATAGCCCTGTCAGAAACAGACACTTGAGTGATTAAGATTGACAGCAGGCGGACAGGCAAAGTGGGGAGATTGGTCCTGCCTACTTGCAGCCAAGGCTGTGGAGATAGACACAAACAGAGGAACAGTGAATCCCATGGAACTTCAACAAGGTGCTGACTACCTAACAGGAAACTGAGAAGTGGCAGACAGAACAGAAGAGTGGGGTCTTAAACCAGCCCCCATGGGGCATTAAAACTTGGCTGAAGTAAACACTTCACTTTTTTATTTTTTATCTTTTTTTTTAAAAAAAGGATTTTTCTTTGTTTT